CCCAGGGAGCACTTGGAAGACAAAGGAAGAACGAAAGTCATGATCGGTTTTCCATTTTCCCAGTATTTAGCACATAGATTGACCCACACAAGCTAAAGACATCTATGCCCACTTTTAATTGATGCAATGGTAAGAGCAGCGTTTAAGACAATTGGTTTGTAATCAGATTAAACAAGGGCTGCTTATGTGTTTGGACCAGGCCCCTGTGTCTTCATTTATAAAAGGAGAGGGAAATGCGGCTGCTTTGGGGGTAGCTTTACTGAATAAATGTTCATAAGAAAACTGAGAAATCCTCAGCACTTGTTTCTGAAAAGCCAAAGCAAAGAAAGCTTATCATTCATTTTCTGTGTTGCTTTTCATCTCAGGAACAGAGCAAAGCCCTGCTCTTTCTTCAAAGGCCTCGTGTTAGTAAAAAGGGCTATGTGCATGATGCAGTGCTGTAGCACTGAACAGGAGCCAAAGAATAAGGAACCCTGAAGCTGTCAGAGGTATATAATTTCATATTTTAGAGCTTTAGTTTCCTCCAGTATTAGCTAGGTAGAGCAATACTGTTGGGAAAGGGCCTTTATGGGTCCCTAAAAGCAGGTAGTGAGGCTGAATTGCTCATCTGACGAATATATACCACCCTTCCCCTAACCCAGCAGGGCCTGGCTGAGGCCTTGCGACTGTTTGCATTCCTCTAAGAGGCAATTCCTAACTGCATCATTTTCAGAAGACAGAGATGTGAGCAGCAGTCTGGTTTCCCCTTTGTCATCTGTCTCCCCTCTGATGAGAAGCCCTTCAGTACTTTTCCAGATCCTGCAAAGCCATCTGCAAAAATATAACAATGAAAAGAAAAGCTCACCGATTGAATTTTCTGCCTCTTGTGGGAGATCAGATATGAAATAATAATCCTCCAGGCAAAACCTTGCTGGTCACTAATACCTACAGATTAGTTGTACTAATCCAGTGAGATCAAGGAGAGATGACTGTCTACTTGGCACTATTTTGGTCTCTCGTTTATGAAACTCCATCTCCATGTTTGAAAGAAAAGTCTTTACATAACCGTAATCACTCAGATAAGAAGAGGACTAAACTGTCCCAAAACATTTTATCTTCTGCACAGATGCTGCCTATGAATTTTGACTTGATTAAATAACACGGCAATGTAATATTTTGTTCTGAATAACAAATGCTCATCTGTGGGAGGGAAGGAGCAAGCCTGCTCTCTTAACTGATTATTTGGTGCAGAACAAAAATGGGGATTGGTGGAAGTGGAGGCCAAACAATCCAGAAGTTCACCTGGTTGGGCAGGAGAGCACCAAAAATGTCTTAGAGACGTTAGACTGAAATGTCCCATTGAATCACCGTGGCCTGTGACCTGGATCTAGTTCAGAGAGGTCCTCGAACATCTGGCCCACGCGCTGTCACAAACCACAGAGCATTTCCCAGCACCGCTTTAGCTAAATGAAGATCTGTGGCAAGCCATAGGAAGGGAACAGGCAAGCCTGGGGACCAGTGTCTTAGGTCATTGCATGAGAGAGAATTAAATAAACATTTAGCATCTTTTCCATCACATCCACCTCCCGCTTCTTAAAAAGGGTCACCTTGTAACATAGCCAGAACACAGTCATGTCCCAGGAACCACAACACTGGGCTGGCACAGAGAAGTGCGGTTTTAAGACACTTACGATGCAACATGTGAGTTCAACCTGATCTAACACGTTCCTAGGAGTCCTTGCATCCTTGCACCAGACCTTGGAGATGGAGAGCCTATTATGACACTAATGAAATGCTATCGAGAAAAGCTCCTTCTTCATTTTCCTGTCCTGCCACTCCTTCTCCCCATTGATGACGGTCTGCTTGTAAAATCATGATCATTTACAAAAATAACAATCTGAGGAGGAGAGAGCCAAGATGCACCAGACACCCGGAAACAGAGACAAGATTTATCATCTGTCATAGCTCTCACTTTGTTTTACTCGCATTATAACTAATATTGAGTTTTTCAGGCTGATTTGCACCATGATACGTAAGAGCAGACTTGAACGCAAAGATCCTGCTTCAAGCACTTGATGTCCATGTGTGGACAACTCAGCTGAGCACTGGATCACTACCAACTGTCGCAGGAGCTCAGCCACCGAGATCACAAGGGCATACCTAAACATCAGTGTTTTAACCTGCAAAGCTGAATCCCAGACGTGGCACTTCGCAATGCTGCTGTGATAACCAGGCTCGACACTGCCAGAACACTTCTGCAGTGAGTGCACCCCATAATTTCTTCTTTTTATTCTTTTTATTAGAAAAAGAGAGGCAAATCATCTGCAAAGCATGGAAAATAGGAAAAAAAATCTAGGGGAAAGAGGTGGATATCATACTGGAGGATCCTATACAGGAAAGGTATGCTGGTATGTGATTTGAAAAAAGAAGGACAAGGATAAATTAAAAAACTTACATTTATTTTGCTTTGTAAAAAAGAATCTAGAGAAAAAAGGCAAATAAGAACGTTGGATCATATGTTAACATTTTAAAGTGGGTGCGTGCACCTCTCGCGAGTTCCTCCATCTCCTGCAGGGATACCTTCTGTCTAGCAATAAATACAAGCAGAGTTTTAAGAAATATGCATGGGAAACAAATCTCTCCCTCTGTGTGACTTATACTGGCCTTTCCACAAACATGCCATGTCTGAACCAGCTTCGTCCCCCAAGAAGCCAATGGCCATTATTGGGCAGATGGGACCTGGGTCATAGTGGGAGCCAACGCACCTTGAGGCACCGCTCTCCTTGTGTGGTGTTAGGTCGACCAAGCAAAGCCATCACTATCAGCAGAGTTTGACATTGTCACCTTCTGGTATCCCCACAGCTGCTGCTCTTTCCCCACACAGATTGGCTCATGTGGACTAATAACCACATGAACCAAAGGCAGGTGTCTCCTCTTAGCCCGTCCACCCCAGCTTTCCTTTGGAGCCAGCAGACATCAACCCAGTATGGTCAATAAAGCCTAGGACTCTCATCCCAGAGTGGATGTCTAAACTAGGGTAGATAAATCACTCTCGCCAGGTCCCTGTTTCTCTTCTTTGACTTTAAACGGAGCCTGGGGTGACTGGCTCAGACGTTTACATCTATGTTGTAAATGCATTTAGATGAGATAAAGCCAGACTCAGCTGTCTGCAGAGCACTGTGGACCCACAGCCACTGATACGCAAATGTATATATTCCAAAACTGTTATATATTCTTGATGTTAGGAACATTTGCAGGTGAGACTGAAAGTCTGTTAGATTAAGAATTCATCTGCATTCACCTCATTGAAGTCAAACCTTTCTAGATAGTTAATGGAAAATTGCTTAATCCGAACTCAAATACAGTTCTTCTCTTTCCCAAAGGGTAGTCTAAATGGGCCATGTTCAGGCTCTATTATTTGTCTTCCTGGAGTTTTATTTGAAGGATGTGTAGGCAAAGTCTTTTCTTCTTGTATCTGTGCTCTAGTAGCTTCGTCTGCTGCTCATCACTCATAATCCCCCTCATTGGAAAACCACTCACTTAATCAGGGGCAGAAGTTTTGCCACGTGATATACATACCCGATTTCAAGTCATCCACAAATCAAATTCATTTATACACAGTAGGATTATTAGCAAGCCATAATGCGAGTTAAAGAAATTAGGACCAGTTAGGAAAGAAAAGGCTGGCTGGATAATTTATTCCTTGCTGCCATCCAACTCCAGAGGGGAAATCCCCAAGTAAGGGACAAGGAATGGTAACTAGGTACCAGGGACTGAGCCTACACACTAGCTCAGCATCCCCGCAGCTTGCAGAAACAGAGCAGAGCTGTGCAAAGATTACTGGAGCAAGTACATTTTGCACACAAAAAACGCAAGCCTGAAAGGATATGAAGCTTTCAGGAAACGGCAATCTTCCACCACGGCCTGCTTTTCAGTGAACGAGTGGATTCTCTGCTTTTCATGTAGCAGTTAGTGTACCGTTATCACGGTCTGTTTTCAGGCTACTTACTTAGGGCTGCTGAATTTACCATCAGTGATGCCAATGCAGAAAAAAGCTGATTAAAAGCAAAAAATCTTGAAGGACATTTCTGAAATCAGAAGAAATTTACTGAGGAAAAAAGACCAAAAGGAAAATGACCTTTAATTTTGTATAACCATCCATTTGACTCGTCAGATTACTGTGCAGGGTTTGAAGACAGACCAGCCCAGTTTTTGCAAGCCAGCCGGTGGCATTTTGAGACTTTTGCAGCTCCTGTCATTGCCTCATGGCAACAGAGCTCTTTGCCGTAGTTAATGGAAGGATATTAATTTAACGGATGGGGCCTCTAGTAGCAGGGGCTACGGTGGGGGATGGAGCACAAAGTGCGCACTGAATCCAGCAGGAGCAATCGCCCCAGAGCAATGGGGATTTAAAACCTGATCCCGCAAATTCCTGGGTAATTTTAAGGGGGGTGAAGCAACTTCCTGAGCTCCAAAGGCATGTGCAAATCAGCACCTACATATGTGCAGGTACGATGCTGTGCCTCCTTGCCTCGGCCTCGAAGGCAAAGCCTGGGTGCTAAGGAGGGAGTATTTCAGAGGGGCATGGGGAATGGCGGGACAGGCGGCGCTGCATGACAACCCCACCAGGGAGGCTGTGACCTCACTGGGAAAGAGCAATTAAACACCATTTGCTGGTGCCACACTGTGGTCGAGGCTGTAAGTGTGAGATGCAGAGGACAGCGGTATATGGTCTCGTTTTCATCCTCCACCTCAGTGCACCGACTGGCGGATGCTGCAGCAGGACTGTGGGATGCCCAGAGCTGGTGGTGCCCCTCGGTGATGTTAGCCATGTCCTGCAGCTGCTAAGGAGCCGAACTGGCTTGCACTGAATTTCCTCAGCATTTTGCCAGGTTTAGGAGCCACATTATGTCATAGCAACCAAGAATATTCGACCGGTATAAGAAACAGGTCCAGGAACCTCCTGAACGCTGCTCTAAAACTGTGGCTGTATAAATGTGCCCCAGGATTACCACTCGCAATCAAGCCATGCATGAGTTTATTTTAAAGCAGGTTCCTTGGGACAGCAACAGTTTGAAATAAACCCTTCATCAGCTTTGCGCCGGTGCTTACTCTGAGGCTCTGGGTCTGCAATTTGGCCCACATTGGGTGGGTGTTTGCCCTCCATGAGGAGCATTAAATGACTTCAGTGTGAATTCCCCAGGTGCCAGCAGGGTCCCCCCATCCCTGAGTCCTCCTCAGGGTAATGATGTCCTCCTTTATAGCTCGGTGCAATTCTCCCATGGCAGTGGACGTCCAGGCTGCCCTGCAGCGAACATGTGCCCGTAGGATGGTGGGGTGACTGCTGTCTTGTGGTGCCGGTGTCTGCAGCTGGAGGCCTAGATACAACACTGATCTGCTCTGATTCCTGCCAGGAAGTCAGAGATGGCAAGTCTCTCAATATTTGGTGTTTTGTTTTTCAGTGCTCCAGCTCTTGGAGTCAGGTGAATAGATCTGAAATCACAGATTTCATTTTCTTGCTTTAAAAATTGAGCTTCTCAGCCCTCCTGTTAGTTTAAAAAAAAAAAAAAAACCTTGAAAAGGTGACTCTTAAATCAAAAATCAAAAAGAAGCCAGAATACATGTTTATACCTCCCCATACCCAATTCTTACATTTTTAAGCCTGTTTTGATTGAGGCTTGATTCAGGGTTTCTCTAAATGCTGAAGACCAAATCCTAGCACGCGTTTTCATTCCTGACTCCCTCCGAATGCCATGAGATGTCATGGTTGCTCCCAGGGGAGCAGTGCCCGTGGGGCATGGGGTTGTAGGCAGGGGGGGGATGCAGCATCCCTGTCCCCAGAGGAGCAGGTGCAAACTTTTCTCCATCATGCACCCTGATTCCCTCCATCAGGGGACCTGCAGGACTTGATAGTCATCAGAGTCAACCTCTGTCTTCACCACAACGATGGGGCCACTGTGGCCACCTGCAGGCTCCGTTGGCACGTGGCTGGTTGTCAGGTCCTTGGGGGGCTCCTCTCCCTCACTGGGAGGGCTTTGCAACTTTAGGTGGTTCCTCTGGTGCCTCCTGAAGTGGCCGATGGTGGTGTAGCTTTGCCCGCACTCGGAGCAGATGAATGGGCCCCTGCGGGTGTGGGTGAGCTGGTGCTTCATAAGGTTGGCCTTCTGGGAGAAGCTTTTGCCACACTGGGGACACTGGAAGGGCACCTCTCCCGTATGGACCCGCTGGTGGGTGACCAAGATCTCCTTCCTCTTGAAATCCTTCCCACACGTGGCGCACTTGAAGGGCCGGTCCTCAGCGTGGGAGGGCTGGTGGAGTCGGAGCTGGGCCCGATCAGGGAAGACCTGGCCACACTTGCCACAGCGGTTGGGCTCGTACTTCGTGTGGACACGCTGGTGGGTGATGAGGGCAATCTCCTTGCGGAAACCTCTCCCGCAGATGGCGCAGGGGAAGGGCCACCCTTCCCACACGTGGCGCACTTGAAGGGCCGGTCCTCAGCGTGGGAGGGCTGGTGGAGTCGGAGCTGGGCCCGATCAGGGAAGACCTGGCCACACTTGCCACAGCGGTTGGGCTCGTACTTCGTGTGGACACGCTGGTGGGTGATGAGGGCAATCTCCTTGCGGAAACCTCTCCCGCAGATGGCGCAGGGGAAGGGCCACTCCTCGCCTGG